TATCTTTCCTGCTATTAATCAGATGATTAGTTTCAGTTAAAAGTTAATCAGGCTTCATACTGGAAATATGCATTTAAAGAATGTGCTACAAAAGAGGGAAACTCAGATTCCAAATGTTTTCAAGACAAATATATTTAACAGTTTTAGCAGTGTTCAGAATGTTCAAAGTCCTTAAGCAAACAGAACAAACTCACAAAGCCCTATATTTTTGTTTCTTGGCACTTAACTTTCCCAGAACTCTGGCTCTTTTTAGTATTGTTGGGAGTTAACGGGTCTTAAAAGCTCCAGATAGACAAATCCTTATTAGAATTTGGTGATCTGAAATGTGCTCCTGCTGTTAAAAGAATTGTCAAAATTCTGGCACCTTTAGCTTGTATTTACTGAATGCCTCAATTGCCAGACTAACAAGGGCACTCAGCACACAAATACTGAAAATCTCATTTCTGTCTTTTGTTAGTTTCCAAGACATGTAGCCCAGATAATTGACTCCAGCTCTTACATGATGGTTTAGCCAGTTGGAGGCATTACATTATTCAATGATCTCCCTGCAACATGGATCCAGTCTATAGGAAACCAAATAAGTATAATTCTTTTACTCTATTTGCACAATTTGGCAATGATTAGGGGTCTTTTAATATTGTCCCAAAGGATATAAAATATTGGAAGACAATATTAGGAACTTTGCAAGATATGCTCTATAGAAAAAGGCCAATGTTTGCTTCACTCCCTGTAGACTAGCTCAACATTTCAGAGGTGTTTAATAGTCTGATGCTTCCTGTGGCATTATATTGTGATAGGACTACATAAAAATAGAGGATAGAGCCTAACAATAAAAATATAACTGAGTTTTTAGTGTTGAATACCCCTGTTTAGCGTGGTTATTGGCAGCATTCAGAACATGTTGTTGCAGAATTTTGATAATTACCTTTGCAGAGTGATTAACATTTTGTTTTTCATCATTTTAATTAAAAAACATGAAAGCATGTACAAGTAGGAGGGGAATTTTAAAACACAGAAGCTAATATTCTGTTTTTACTTCCAGTTTGTGGGGATGTTAACATTGTCTGGTAATTTTTAAAGGACAGTCTACTGAAGCCATTCAGAAGTTCCATCCTTTAAAGTGTAACCGTTCTATTTTAAGGGGTGGTAGTCTCCAGTGAATTCTATTTCCTTCCTTCCTTGCTTTTACTGCCAAACTAATGTTATAACTTTTAGTGTGTAGCATCACTCCTACAGGTCAACATCGTGCAATCAATTTATTTTTTATAGAACTCTTTATGTGATGTATGACAAGCCATTAAAGAGAGAGAAATTAGTACATTTATATTGTCGGAATCAGATTCTAAGAAGGCAGAAAGGGTAAGCTAATGTGCAAAGATGGAGGAAAGTAAAAGAAAAGGAAACTGAAATTTAAGAGCAGACATGATAAAACTAAAAGGTAATTATCACTGCACATTAGTTTCAATTAGAGAAGAATGGGAGTATGAAATAATGGGAGGGAAGGG